ACATGATAACTGATAAATAATAAATAATAACAAAACTTAACTAAAATAACGTCTTAGCAAATATCTTCATACCATTACACATAATTCAGTTACATGTAAAGCTTATCTATAACGAAAGTCAGATATCAAATGGAGAAGCCAAAAAAAAAAAAACGAAACTTTATTTAAACTTAAGTTTTAATTTTCGAAAATAATATGAAATTGTAAAAATCAAGAACCTTTTTCATTTGAGCTATCTTCTGATTCAAATATCTATTTGTTTCCTCTGCCGTTTTTAAGCGATCATTTACTATTTTCATTTGCAAATTGCTCATTTCTTTATCATTCTTCAATCTTCTCATCATTTCCTGCAATCGTCTCAATTCAGTGCTTCTGCTGTTTTCAAATTTATGCAATTGCTCAATTTGCTGTTCCCGCTTCTTCAATCTTTCGCATATTTCTTGTTCACGTTGTTCCGTTTCTTTTAGTTTTTTCCGAAGTGCACTTATGTTACTTTCACGTCCCTTCTTTTCGTGCCACTTTGATATCTCTTCCTAAATGATTATGAGCTCGCAAAAAAAATCAAACAAACAAACAATGATATATAATGGAAATTGTAAATTTGAGATGAAAAAAAAGGAGAAAAAAATTTTAAAATTCGAAACCTCTGCATTTTTAACGGATTGATTTTTCTGCAATCGATCAATAATTTCTTTTTGTTCTCGAATCAATTTTTTTTGATTTCCAGCTTCTAATTTAAGAGCAGAAAGTTCTTGTTGAAGTCTCAAGTAAATATAATCTTAAGTAAATCTTAAGTCTTAAGTTAAATTGAAAATTTCAATAAATGAACAAAAAAGATATTTGATTTTTCAGCAATTACTCAACTTTAGGGTTATTTGCTCATTCGGATCAAGAATAATTCTTTTTTTTTTGCATTCGTTATAGTATTAATGTTATTTTATGGGACGAGAAAGCTGTCATATTCTTTAAAAAATAAATTAATTACTCGAAAAATGAATTAATTACCAATAATTTTTTTTTTGCTGCCTCTTTAAAAAATTGGATTAATTAATTTCCAAAAGATTATTGGAGAAATAAATGAATTAATTGATTTAATTAATTATTCAAATGAAACTTTTTAGGAAATTCTAACTTCATGACAATAGCTTCTGATTCGGTGCTAATATTGGATGTATAACTTTGTTTAATTTCAGATAATGCTTCAGCTCGAATACTTTCACATGCCTTTTCCAGTTCCTAAATATAAATTAGCCTTATGTTCAATATTCTCTCATATTATCAATTTTCTTACACTTTCTTGCATAATCAATAGATCAAATATGCAAAATGCAATGTTAATTCTTGAAAAAAAATTGATCTTTTGTATTTCATAAGTTAAACTCCAAAAAAATTAAATATTAAACCTGATTCTGAATATGTAATGCAGCGTTACGCTGTTTTAAATCTCTAATTTCCATACGCATTATCATCATTTTTGATTCCTCTCGTCGTAATGTTTCCATCATAATATCATTATCAGTTACTTCATTATCAGTTGGAGCATTATGTTTGGTGGACTGTATTAATGATGGCGTATGCGTCCGTGTAATTATTGTCGATTTTTGATTGATAGTACTTTTTCTTGATTCCTCTGTTACATTTGATTTTGAATTGTTTTCTTCATTTGAAATAATTCTTTCCGCAATTTCATCATCGTCCATCACTTCACGTAAATCAGTTTGCGTACTGATTTCGGTATAATGTTTAGTTTTCTTGTAAAAATGTTGGAGATCATTTGTAAGTTTTTGATTTGCCTTATTAAATTGCTCAATTTCATTTCGTAATTTAACTATTTCCATATCTTTTGCTTCAATAACAGCATTGTAATTTTGAGATAAAATTTCGCTTGATGTTCGTAATTTTCGCCACGATAAATTGTCCATAATTAGCGCTGAATCATTATCAGTGATTCTTTGCGCATCGCACTCATCCGGCATAATTTTCAGCAATGATTTATATTTTTCAATAACTTCATCTTTATACTTCAATTGTTCCTGAAATTTTATGTTTATCGATGAGATGAATTTAAAAAAAAATTGAAATTACACAAAGATATGATATGAAATGGAAAAATTCTTTTATTAGTTTTTCTAAATAAAATTTGTGTAATTTTTCAATAGACTCTTCTTTTTTTCATCGACAAAATTGTTAGCTTATTTTTATTATAAATGATTTGACATATAATCTACATTTGCTCATTTAGCAGTATTTCGGTAGTATTTTTCTTCCTTTAATTTAATTTTTATAAAAATTTTTCAAATTTTAAATGCATAAACGGACACAACAAACCTTATAATTTTCAATACATAATTTTGCTGTTTCACGAATATAATTCAACTTTTTCATATATTCCTCCGAATGAATGTGCGCAATTTTTTGTGTAGCGCCTGTTGCATGCAAATCAGTTACTGCTGCTGCTGCTGCTGCTGCATGATACTTTACATCGGATTCACTATCAATCGTTTCTGTTGGTGTTTCACCTTTTCCAACAGTTTCAGATTCCTCCATTTCCAAGTTCACTTTTTCATCGCTAACATTCTGAGCATCTGACTTCAAATCAATTTTTCCTTCTTCCGTTTCAATATTTGCAAAAAATTCATCGGTGGCAGAAGATGGATTGATAGATTCATAAATTCGTTCATTTTCATCATCAAAATCAAATATTTTAAAATTCGCTACGAATAAATCTTTAATTTCTTGCTGTAAATTGTTTACTGTTTCTTCAAGTTTTTGAATCTGTTCATCTTTTTTTTGCATCTGAAAAAAAAGATTGTGAATTAAAAGTTGAATGTTCCGTACACATTTATTCAATCTATTTATGAATTCGTTAGAATAGTTTCTTTAGAATAATCTCTTTTAAAATATATTTATGTAATTGCTAGTGTTATAAAAAGAAAAAGAATTTGGGATTTATTTTATGAATTAATTCATCCCTTCGAGATTAATTACTGAAAAATTTCATGTTGTAAAGAATGTCT